AATTTTGTATCAGTAACAGGTACGGCCAAGCAACCTAATAAAAAGTCGTCAACGATGGCTAGTCTAGCCAAGGACGGATCCAGAAAATCCCGGTTTGGACACTTAACGGGCAGAAGAAACATTTCCATTAAAGAAAGAATTATACATTTCTGTCTTTTTATGCCTTTAATAGTTACTAACTTGAATTTTTCTTCAAATTAATGAATCAATTATTTTTTTATATTTTATTGTAATGTAGAGACTAAAGGCTTTTAGTGACAGATTGCCTTACAATTATATGTAAAAAAAAAAAAGTCTGATATTTGGCCTCAAATCATCTGAGTCCTGGCGACTCCCCTGCGATCTTTGGTGCCCCCCAAGGGGGGCACGCCCCCCAGGCTGGGAACCACTGCTCTAGTACATGTTCTAGTAGTGTGACATGTATTCAGTATAAAATGACAAGACAGTGAGATGAAAAACAGCCCTGTTTTATGAGACTGCTTTAGAGTAAGCTAAGCTGAAGCTAAAAACAGGCAGGCCAGTTTATATCTACAATATATTTGATCACAGCATGGTAGTAAAACATGTTTATTGTGCCAATTTTTAATAATAAAGACGTTCATGGTTAACTTGATTTTGTACCATGCTCTCATGACAAGAGCCAAGCTTCTTTGCTTTCTACGTGGGACCATCAGAACAGCCTTTTAGCTGAGTAGGAATGGATTTCAGATCATTCAACAACACATCCATCATAAGTTTTTTGTTGTTGTTTTGTTTCTTTCCGTTAACCGTTAAGTGGGAAATAAGTATTTTTAGTGTTTCAGTTAGTATCCTAAGATAGTATCCTACTTGGCTGTGACAAAAGAAATATGAAGGACAAACCATCTATTTCTATTTCTTTCTTTAGAAAGGGGCAGGTAATATAAGATTTATTTTCTTCTCCCTGCTCCTTTTCGCTTAACGGTGTGTTTACAGAGACATGTTTTGTTAACAATTATTATACATTAAGTTTTGCATACCATGAACGGAACAAATAAAAATGAAAGGAAATAAGTCGGATGACATAAATCAGGGTTAGAAATAATGATCCACCCCTCTCATAAGAAGTTTAAAGTAGGCTGTTAAGAAATGTTCCATATCATGCAGGGATCCAATAACTACAGCCCTGTTTCATAATGACATTGAACAGACTGGTTTGAGTTCTCCTGTGTTGTGTCCACAACAGGAAGCACTGCAGAGGTTAAGATGACATCACCACAGGTCAGAGCACTCAGTGAGGAGGAAGCAGAGAGAGCAACACTCACATAGTGGGGGGAGAAGCGTCGGTCGAACTCCCTCTGAGCCAGAATGCCTCCCTGTCCGGGGGCACTGGTGTAGCCCACCTGAGGGGAACACACACGTGAGGTTCATTCACTACACACACACAGTCAGGCACGTGCACAGATAGACCTCAGAGGGGGTTTGAGCATCAGCCTTTTTGCAAGAGAAGTGCCCTTTTGAGAATGTACTTTATTTACAACTCAATCATGTTGTCGAACATAAAGCAAAAAAACAACAAAAACCTGTGTCTAATACACATGATCTAAAGTGCATGTGTTGCTTTAACAATTGTTTGCCTAATTATGACATATGTGAATTATGTTAAACTAATTTGTTGGCACACACATCTTAGCAGTATAAAATCAGCATCTTCTTATTCCCCGTTATTTCTGAGGCCTAATCTGAATGCCTTTATGTATATGTTTCTGTAATATATTGTCTTTTTAATAGAACAGTGTAACTTATCTAGAACATTTTATACTATAACTTTGTGGTACATGTCCTTTCTCTTGGAGATATGTAAAAAGTAGTTATTCCAGGTTTCAGATTCCAGGTTTATGTAAAAGTAACAAAAACCGCCGGCATGCCCTTTAAAACAAATGTGTCCAGCCCCTCTAACACCGTCTGGTCGTCACTGCATGAATCCACTGAGATGATAAACAGCTGTTACCAGCACTTGTCCTCCCTCCTGGGCCAGGTAGCTGACGGAGGCCGAGGTGAAGTTGAAGTACCCGGCCTTCAGGGGGCGCAGCACCACGGTGTGAGAGACATTGCTCGCTCTGGAAGGTCAACAGTTAAATTCAACAACTTGAAAAAACACACACACATTATTTAAAAATGCCAATAGCGGTCTATAATATTTTCCTATTTATTTTGTATGTGGCTGTATAATAATTTTTTATTTATACCTGATCTATAGTGTATATACTGCACTGAAAAACTAAAGCGTTGACTTTAATTAAATGTATTATGTCAACAGATTTCACATAACTGTAGGTTAGTTGAAAGCAATAATATCAAGCTTAAAGAGCAACTTGCAGGTTTTTGTTTTTTTACTACATTTATGCTTAACCTTGCCTGAAAATTACAATTAAAAATGTTAATGCAGGATTTGATATGTTTTACAAGACATAAGGGCAGGAATTCAGAGGGAAAGGACCCGTTTTGAGCTCTGCTGCTAAAAACTGCTTTTTTTTTTAACGTCATATTACGTCACATGGGGGAGCAACTTTCTTGGACTCCTTCTCTGCCCAATCTGCAGTTTTCTCTCTCTCTCTCCCTCTCTCTCCCTCTCCCTCTACCTCTCCCTCTCTCTCTCCCTCTCCCTCTCTCTCCCTCCAGTAAATCACAGAACCGACTATCGTCCTTATTATTATGCCGTTTAAACCAATTATTTAAATCTGTCCACACACTGCTTCCCCTCAGCGAGGCTCCCCCGCCCGCCTGCCGATAGTTCACGAGCGTCAAGCTCCTCAACCGCCCCCCCCGTTGATAATTCTCGATCGTTGGCACGCTGATAAATGGGACTTCATATCAAAAAGGATGACTGTAGTGTAGACGGGCCGTTACTGTTTACGGTGTGCATACTCTCAGATGTACATACTAACATTATACTCTGAATAACTCTGTTCTTTACTGCTTGTTTTGCACAGTTAAGATGCAAACTGCATTTCGATTTCTTAGTACTTGTACTCTGTGCACAGACAATAAAGTTGAAACTAATCTAATATTTGAAAACAATTCAGTAAAACCTTAAAACCCAATTGTCTTCTTAGTGACAATGACAGATTTAGTGATTGGATCATGTGCTAAACAAGTGTGTGTTCTTATTCACATGCTGGCTTGTCTGTGACGTCAGGCTAATTTCCCTGCTGACTTTAAGATGCCTTTTGTGAAAGTATAGGTTTGTAATGCTAAAAATGGCAGCCAGAGGAATCAGTCTCAGTCAGTTAGTTAGTTAGTTCCTACTACAGTGTTTCCCCTATATACAAATAGGGCCACTTTTTTGACGACCCCTTTTTCATTTTTGATTGTTGGGCAACATAGGCGGTCGCTTAGGGCGCCAGATCTGGGGGGCGCTGCCCTGGTAGCTCTGGGAGGAGAAAAAACATTTTTGACCGTTGGTGCTCATCCTAATTTTCGGCCTTGATGTCACAACATTCATAATTAAGTAAATGTAACACCCATTTCACCCCGGTTACACGTTTCATTTGCCCTGTACGATGGGCGCTGTAAGTGATGAAAGTGGGGGATGTTGGCTTATCTGGCACCCGCAGCTCACAGCCAAAGTGCGAGTGAGAAGAGAGCGAGCGAGGGAGAGAGAGGGCGCACCGGTACCGGCGCTGTTGTTATTAGAATCTGGTGCTAGCTGCTCTAACGGATATAAGAAGTAGATGTTTCAACAACCAGGGTGGAGGAGAGCTCTCCTGTCAGACTGAGAGGCTCAGTGAGGTAAAGGACTCTTGAGTGTTTAGATAGTTAATTTTAGTCCAAGGGTGCGTTCAGCCGCTTGGTGCGGTTCATTTGGGTCGGTGTGAACACAGTCCGAGACCTCTTAAGTGAACTAAACAACTGGACTCTGGTCCGCTAAAATAGGTGGTCTCGGAGCGCTTGCTTGCGAACTCTGGAGCGGTTCATTGCTGGTGTGAACGCAGTCCGCACCAAAACATAGGAAGCGTAGTCTTTACGTGTCAAAAGAACACGGATGTCTTGAAAATCTTTAGCGAAAGAGTCTTTCAAGACATCCGCGGTTGTTTAGTTAAACAGTGAAGCAGAATGAAGTGTTGAACAGTGTCGTGTAAAGTAAAAATGCTCCGTCAACTACATAATATTAAGAACACCTGTCGTCGGTGAAACGCCCCTCCTTACTGCAGAACGTCTCATTATATGTG